TTAACCACCACTCGGGCTGTCGGAACAGATAAAATTGTTTACATTTAGACCGAGACAACCGAATTTCTACAAGAAAATAAAAGCTGTAAACATTTTTCCGTTAAATTAAGTTTAACCACCACTCGGGCTGTCGGAACAGATAAAATTGTTTACATTTAGACCGAGACAACCGAAATTCTACAAGAAAATAAAAGCTGTAAACATTTTTCCGTTAAATTAAGTTTAACCACCACTCGGGCTGTCGGAACAGATAAAATTGTTTACATTTAGACCGAGACAACCGAAATTCTACAAGAAAATAAAAGCTGTAAACAGGCGTTTATCCGTTATTTGAAGATGTTTCATATTCCATATAAATTATCTTCTTTCTATGTTGTGTATAGAAGCTTCCTATTCCCACCACGAGGATGACTTCAAACTGTCTTCTTGCTGCAATTTTATGACCACTTGCTGTTTATATTAATAAATCCTTCTGCTTTATATCGGGAGGAAATTTCCTTCCCACCTTTCATTACTACATCAGTTCAGTTAATGGTAACTGTAGTAAGAGTGTCAATAAACATGTTGCAAGGTTTCCCATTAATGCATCTGGACTGATTTCTTTATTAAATAACGAACTTCTTATCCCACCTGGGGAAAATAAAGTATTCTCAGCTGAATTTTGCTCTTTAAAATTACTTGTGATATAATTGTATATATTAATTGGTTTTTACGAAAATAGTAAAATATAAAATAAATAGTGTCTGAACTTTAAATCAAACTATTTCCTGTTTTCCTAATCTGGTGATTTTTTTGTTGTTCCTTTGTATGGGCCTGGCAAGGCCAGGTGGTTAGGGCGCTCGACTCGCAATATGCGGGTTCGAATCCCCGTCACACCAAACATGCTCGTCCTTTCAGCCGTGGGGGCGTTATAATGTAACGGTCAATCCCACTATTCGTTGGTAAAAAGAATAGCCCAAGAGTTGGCGGTGGGTGGTGATGACTAGCTGCCTTCCCTCTAGTCTTACACTAATAAATTAGGGACGGCTAGCGCAAATAGCTCTCGTGTAGCTTTGCGCGAAATTTATAGCAAACAAACAATACTTTGTCTGTTTGGTCTCTGGTTTTATCCTAAAGTATCATATCCTTAGTTTATTACTGTCTGTTGATTCAGTTTTCACGTTTATAATAGTTCTCCTTTTTATAGCATGCCAACAAACATTATTTCTTACTTGTTTCTGCTTGCAGTTCCAGGCAATATCTCCTTTTAAGTTACAGTTGAAACATCAATTGTCACATAACTTACTTCATTCTGAGTAATCAGTTGTCATAATAATCCTTTGAGTTCTTCCAGACTTCAATTAGAGGGAGTTGACGTTTCCAAACTATTTGATCCTATAATTCTTAGATGTTCCTTTTAACTGTTTATCTGCAAGTTTAATTGACTAAAGTTCTGTCATTAATTATCTCAATTAGAGCAGATGAAGAACTCTCTCCTTATTATTTACAATTAAGGGTCGTCTACTGGGTTTAGTGTTCATGTTGTTCTGGATTGTAGCACCTGCTTTTTCTTATCATCCTTTCTATTTCCTAAAACCCTTTCGCCTGTTGTTCCTAGCAATATGTCTTTTCTTTCTTTTTTTGAGTTACAATCGAAACACATTCTGTCCTGTGTATTATTTCCTTCACTTTGAGTTAACAGATGTCTATTAATCGTTTGAGACTCTTATAGATTTACGTAGAGAGTCAAAGTTTTTACATTATTTGATCTGATAATTTCATAATTCTTTCTTGGAAATTATTTCGAACTGCCTGAGATGCCTTCCACAGTATCCTTCCATCATAATTTGTTGGTCTTCAATTAAATGATGTTGTTGAACTGGCCTACTGTACTCCATAACTTAATAACGTAATGGTATAGCTGGACTAGTCTAGAAAAGTCCTGCAGTCACAGGAGGCACAACACAGGTAACATATGTAAATCTGATAGGTTTTTCCTGCTCCTCATTGCATAATCATTGGTGTTTCAGGTTGGGATTCTTGAGTAGACGCAGAAAGAGGTGTGGCTGATTTAACCTTGCATTTACAAAATCATTTTCTAAATGTTTTATCCTGATATTGGTGTTATTTTGTACTTCGGCAGTTTTGTTATAATCCTTCTGTACTTCTTCAAACTGGTCGTTGTACTTTATTAGTGTCTCATTGAAATTTTTCGATTTTCTTATGATAATCGTAGGCCTCCTATGGCTTTTTTAACTTCATTATGTACATTTTCTGTTATATCTGCAATCAAACAGATCCGGGATTACAATTCTTATCTAAATCTGATGTCTCGTTCTTGTAATTTCTCTGTCACTTTCTTCTTTTATTTTTCTGTAACTTTCTTCCTGATATCCTTTTAATTTTTGTATTTTTCTTATAACTCACTGTTTTTTCTTCTTTGTATTCTTTTAATTTTCTTTCTCTATTACCTGCCTATGTATTCTTGATCATCTAATTTTTCTCTCTTTTTTGTCTTCTTTTCATTTTCTGCCTCTTTCTTCTTGATCACTTTTCCACTTTTTCATCACCTCTAGCAAATTTGCGATCTCGTTTTGAGCAGTCCGCCAATGGGACTGCGGTAAGTTCCGGACTTACCACGGTAAAATCTGGGGTTCGATTCTTCACGGTGGAAACAGCAGATAGCCCATTATGGCTTTGCTCTAAAACCAAACACAAATTTTTCAAACTTGTTTCATCAACTTGAAGTTTGGTCTATTTTATTTTTGTCAAAATAATTTCACTCCTGACATCAGTATTGTAGCAGTTACAATTATTTGATACCTAAACATATATAAATACGAAGTCAAGTTCACATAATGATAACAAAAGCGCTTTATTTCTTCTACCTGAAATTGTATGATAACACCGTTTTATGAACTAGCTATAGTCCTAACTCTACACATAATGTTAAGTAGTCACGGGCTAATTTTCTCTCTCATAAGTTCGGTACTTCTCGTATTACGCTTATCTTTGTTCGTATCAAACTTAAATTTAAACTCGTTGTGCTGTTCATACACTAAGGAATAGCTGTTACAGAAACTACCAAGAAAGGTTTCGATCACCACGACCGTGCTGGATAGAGCACAAATAATCCATTGTGTATCTTTTTGCAACAACAACCAACCCTGAATGAACCGAGAAAAATAAAGTCAATTTACAATTACGAGAAAAACAAAAACGATGGTACATTATATATTTAACGCAAACCACAATATCAGAAATATCAGAATAAATAAGAACTTAATATTTTGAAGTTTTTTTTTTCTTGAAGGACAGAAAATGGAAAACCAAGAAATGCTAGCCAAATCAACGTTATTATACAAATTTCAACACAAGTGAATTTCTTAAGCTCTATAGATTTCAAAAACTACAATAGACTTTGCTTTTACCAGCTTTTGTGATAAACGTAATGATAGACGAAAAATAATTAAATGTTAAAGTTGAGCTGTTGTAAAATATCAGCAAAATACCTGCTGACAATGTTGCTAAGCAAATAACAAATACACTAATATATTTTTGTGGTGTTTATTATGAAATAATATTCACGAATCCCGCTTCATTGGGCTCAAGTATTATTTACTAAATATTTTGCACTTAAGTTTATTTATTTAGCTGGACCGCACCATATATAACACAAATATTTTTTTATCAATTTCCGTAAACAAATATATTAAAAAACAGCTCGCTTTTCATTGGCAAGAGGGCGAAAGCATAAGAACATGAAGGACATTATTCCCCAGAAATGTAGCAAACCAGATGTCGGCGAAACATCTGTAGAAGGTTAAGTGAGCAAGTTAATTATCTGTAATGGCAACATATGTTCTAAATTTTTAGAGCATGTTTATATCATTTTTCATCTTATAGATTTTTCGATACACTTTACACAAAACTGATAATTATTGGGTATAGCTTAAATTCTA